CTAGATAGTGTTAAGTGCTTGCATGCCTTCTCGCTTGCAGCTGCCACCACTGGCTAGCCTTGTGCGAAAATAGGAGCAGCGCTGCGTAAGTCTCCCCTGCCAGTGCATAGCCTCTCCATCATCGAGACTTCTGCAGTGCCTCCTCGTGGCCACCTATGGAAACTGGTACCTTGTAGTCCTAGGCTAAACTGTCGGGGATCTCGGAGCAGCAGGAGGCCCCAGAGGTACAGGGTCATGGCCCACCAGCATGTGGACACGCCGTGGCCTTTTATTAACTCATTCCCCTAAGCCCCCTGGGGTTATTGGGAGGCTCGGGGGAGGTGGGCCTTGCCAGTCTTCCTCCACCCAGAGATAACTCATCAGCAACGTCACGGATAATTGAAAATGTTTGGGGGGGGGGGAATGTCTCTCCTACCAGCGAGAGACGCGGGCTGTGGCCCTGCTGGGAGGGCGGTTGCTGGGGCGCAGGATGGGAATGGGAGCTCCTCGTCCTGCCTGCGTTCTGGCAGCCGCCAGCCCGATATGAAGTTTGTGGGGCAAAGCCCTAGGGAACCCCACAGGTGGAGGATGGGTCCTGCAGCCTGCCGCCTTTTATGTGGGTCCACCTGGAGTGACTGCCCGAGGGTTAACCTCAGGCGGGAAGTCAGACTGGGGGCTTGGAACATCCGCTCTTTGCGTCAGGATGATCGGTTACCCCTACTATCGAGGGAATTGGTAAGGCTGAGAGTTGGGGTGGCTGCTCTCTCGGAGGTGAGAAGACCAGGCAGCGGCATTATCAGTGTAGGTGGCTACACCTATTACTGGTCAGGCTGCAGCGATGGTCACCATCTTCAGGGAGTAGCCATAACTATCTCCATTCCAGTCGATGAGCATAAAATGGTATTGAGACTGAAGCTGTCATTTGGCTTCATGTCTCTTATTGCTGTGTATGCTCCTACCGATTTTTGTAAACTAGACGTGAAAGAGGTGTTCTACGCCAAACTCGCATCTGTGACAGACAGTTGTCCCCGACGAGATGTTCGTATTGTTCTGGGTGACTTCAATGCAGTATCTGGCTGTGATCGAGGTGGCTATGAGATGTCTGTCGGTCCTCATGGTTCGGGAGTTGATACCGGTAGCGAAAATTCCTTCCTTTTCTGGGATTTTGCAAGATCCCAGAAATTGAGGATTTCTGGCTCCTGGTACCAGCACCCAGACCTACATCGTTGGACATGGTACAGTGATGCGGGAAATGCAGCCAAGCACTCGGAGAACTGCAGGGTGTATAGGAGTGCCGAGTTCTGTGGTACTGATCATAGATTGGTTGTGGCTAACCTCTGGGTTAACTCCAAAACTCCCCAGCGGCCCAATGACCACCCTAGGGTTTTTCATTTGGACAGACTGAAGAAGAGGAAATGTGCTCGGGGGTTTGCTGAGACAATCTCTGCTTCACAGCACTCGACAATCTGATGGACCCTGTACTTCTGTGGGACACCTTCAAGCGCGAAACGCTTGATGCAGCCCAAGAATCGATTGGAAAATACCCGAGGGCAAGACAGAATTTAATCTCTCAGGAGACACTGGAAGCCACAGACACTTGCCGTGCGGCTCGTCTGGCAGGAGAACGGGATTCTCAGGTGCACAGTACTTGTTCTCTGTTAAGAAGGGACCAGAAACAGCTTATTAGGAGTCTTGCTGAGAAGGTCGAAGGCCATTTCTTAGTAAATGATCTTCGTCCTGAATACCAAGCCCTGAGAAGGCTGAATTTTAAGCCCTCTTCACAGGTGACTGCAGTTCACTTAGTAGGTGGCCAGATCGTCTTAGATCCTGTTGCGGTGCAGGAACGTTGGGCAGTTGTATCAGGTTGACCCACCAAAAGTTAACTTGGATGTGGGTAGTGCCGTGATTCCGCTGCCTGACCCACCCATTAGCGAGGACCCACACTTCCCAACTGAAGTTGGGGGCGATCTCCAAGCTGAAGAGTGGTAAAGCAGCGGGTATTTACGGCATCCCAGCCAAACTGTTAAAGGCTGGTGGTGAACCTATGGCACGGGGGATGCATGTTGTCCTGGCTGCCATCTGGCAGTCTGGTACCGTTCCCCCTGACCTGTTGAGGGGTGTGGTCATCCCTCTCTGGAAGGGTAAGGTGGACCGATGGGACTGCAGCAATCACCATGGCATCACACTGCTCAGTGTACCATTCAAGGTTGTTGCCCACATCCTTCTGAGACGTATTAGAGACCACTTACTGAGGCATCAGAGGCCGGAGTAATCCAGATTCACTCCTGGTAAGTCCACAATAGACTATATCCTTGCGCTTCGAGTCATTGTAGAGCGCCGTCGGGCGTGGGCAGCTTGCCTGACTTTGCTTTACCATGCAAATCACCATCATTTGTTGACCACTTTCTAGCCTTTGAACGTCTTTATCATACCGTTAATAATTGCCAAATTCTTGACAACTCTGAATCTGCCAAACTGAATTTTTTTGAGAAAATTGCCAGTTTTGCAAATGAGATGTTCT